GGCCATATTGGATTTCTGATTGACCTGAAAAATAACAACACTTTGTCAGGACCATGAGCTGATCATTCCTACCAACTTTCAGTTCAATCGGCCCAGCAGAACTTGACTTTAAGTTTGAAATAGTTTTTCAAAATGGCGGCCGTGGCGGCCATATTTGATTTCTTATTGACCTGAAAAATAACAACACTTTGTCAGGACCATGAGTAGATCATTCCTACCAACTTTCAGTTCAATCGGCCCAGCAGAACTTGACTTTAAAGTTTGAAATGTAAAATGTTAACGGACAACGGACAACGGTCGACGGACGACGACGGACGAAAAACGGATAGCAATAGGTCACTTGAGCTAAAGCTCAGGTGACCTAAAAAGTTGACAGACGGTCGAACAATACTATATTATGTTCTTAACATTTACATTTGGTTGGCTTGGTCTTGTTTTGAAGTGACTGAGTTATATTGTGGTCATGATGTTAATATCTGGCCGTCACACCATATTAGATAGACATCTCATAGCCACAACCCACCGTCTGGTTTCCCACTGTTATCATGTCTTACACAAACAACAATAGATCAATGATAAACCCACAGTTCATCAATGATATCAGTCTTAGTATATCAACAAGTTTTGTAAAGTTTTACAGCACATTCAACAGTTTTCTACGATAAATAAAACATTACAAGTGCCAGATTGACAGCCTTAGTTTTTGTACCAGCATCACTGTACAGTAGATCTACCTTGATAATCTGGGCTCTGATAATCCTGAAAATACTTTCAGGAAAACTTTCCCTCAAAATGCCTTTACTAAAAGGAATTTCTTCTTAATTTTTCTGTGTGGAAATTCACAACTTAAAGAGAATGCTATTTCAATATTGACACACAAAGCAGATCTGCATTTTTGCAACTTTATAAAACATTTAGATAAGAAAATGAATCTTTTGTGATCAAAAAGCTAGTGATTTGTATAAATCTGAAAAAATTGTTAATAGCAATTTTTTCTTGAGATAACCCAGTCCATAAAATCAAGGCTCTGCTGTACATGGAAACCATCATATACTTCATAAAAAGTAAACAATTATAACAATAATTAATATTCTAACCAACAAGTTTCACAAGTGCTCAGATCTCAAATAACAAGTACCCTAAGATTCTGTAATAAATACTTTGGATTTATTCCAAAAGCATCAAACTACACAATTAACTCTGTTGGCTTCAATGGGAGAGTTTTAATTAAATGATTTGGAGAAACTTGAGACTCCAGAATATTTTTCATAATACAGTGCATGCATGTTGCTGTTATCAACATGAACATGTGTAATAATGCAGGATGCAGGTGTTAAATAACCACGTGACACAGATGTAACTCACTGCGGTAACTCACAGATGAAACTCACCACGGTAACTCACAGATGTAACTCACCGCGGTAACACACAGATGTAACTCACCACGGTAACACACAGATGTAACTCACCACAGTTACACACAGATCAGGTGTTAAATAACCACGTGACACAGATGTAACTCACTGCGGTAACTCACAAATGAAACTCACCACGGTAACTCACAGATGTAACTCACCACGCGTACGGTAACTCACAGATGTAACTCACCGCGTTAACACACTGATGTAACTCGACACGGTAACACACAGATGCAACTCACCACGGTAACACACAGATGTAACTCACCACGGTAACACACAGATGTAACTCACCACAGTAACACACAGATGTAACTCACCACGGGAACACACAGATGTAACTCACCACGGGAACACACAGATGTAACTCACCACGGAAACACACAGATGTAACTCACCACAGTTACACACAGATGTAACTCACCAGGGTAGTTAACACACTGATGTAACTCGACACGGGAACACACAGATGCAACTCACCACGGTAACCCACAGATGTAACTCACCATGCGTACGGTAACTCTCAGATGTAACTCACCGCGGTAACACACAGATGTTACTCACCAAGCGTACGGTAACTCACAGATGTAACTCACCGCGGTAACACACAGATGTTACTCACCACGCGTACGGTAACTCACAGATGTAACCCACCGCGGTAACACACAGATGTAACCCACCACGGTAACACACAGATGTAACTCACCACGGTAACACACAGATGTAACTCACCACGCGTACGGTAACTCACAGATGTAACTCACCACGTGTACGGTAACTCACAGATGTAACTCACCGCGGTAACTCACAGATGTAACTCACCGCAGTAACACACAGATGCAACTCACTGCGGTAACACACAGATGTAACTCACCACACGTACGGTAACTCACAG